AAAGTTTCCAATTTATCCCACAGACCCTTAGCAGACTCAATAACCCCAACTTTTCTAAGAACAGAATCAGACAGATTTAAGTAGATGGTGGAACAGGCAGTTTCATTCATCTCAGTTTGCTTAAACTTATCCTCAGACTCTAAGAACTGACCAGTGACAGCCCTATACACTTTCTGTTGGATAAGGACACACTTTATCTTTTGTTTCCAAATATCAAAGTCAGATTTACCATTAAAGGGAAGCATACCATACATATTAGATGCCATGGTAAGCAACAGAACACAGTAACTGAGCCTTCAGTAATGCAAGGCTTAGCCCTAGCTTGTTAGGCTGCGGACTAAGGGACCACGCAGATCCGAGGCCACTGAGGTGGCTGGCAGGGAATCCCCTAGCCCTAACCTCAAGTGCCTAACCCAACCAGGGTTTTACAGCCACAGTATTACTCAGGATCAGAAACAACAAATACGCAGGTAACCCGAAATATACTGGAAACAGATAAAGGTCAAGCGACAAATAGGATTTAACAGACCACAGTTCACACAGAAGAGTCAATAGGACACAAGTTTACTCAAGTAATCACAGAGATAATGATGGACCAAGTTCGACACAGATTGGTACCATCCATACACAAATATACAGACCTAGGGTTTTCTACAGATCTGTTTAGGCAGACTCTGTACATACAATCAAGGCTCTAGGGTTTCTAACCGGCAGGTCAGTAACCTAGGGTTACAGATCCACCCATGCAACACAGATGCCGGTGGCACTCCGGCAGCCCAGAGGAACAGTTCAAGTTTATACCTGAGCGGGAGTCTAGATCAGACAGCCCGACTTACCAATTGGGATGGGAAGCCGAAACGTTACCAGGGTTGGGGAAGTACTTCCGGTGAGTTCTCCGACGCCCGGCGAGAGGAGGCAGCTTCCAATGCTCTGATACCACTGTAAGGAATCTGGACCGGCTCAGACCTCAATCACCATAGCCCAAAGGCTTGCTCACCATTCACCACCAAGGAGGAACTCAAGGAAGATCAAAAGGGCATCAAGCCAGCAACCCTCAGTCTAGGAACTCAAACCACCCAGCCTGACTACCCAGTAACGACCCACCGGAGAAGAGAACCCCCCCAACCAACCAGACCTAGGTGAAGACCCCAACAGGATTCCCAAGGTATTACCGAAGGTAGCCAGAGCTCAGACCCATCGGTAAACCGGCACTCTCTCACTCTAGGAAAGGGGCAACTCAATCGACTTCTCATCGGTTAGAGAGAAGAAGGGACGAAGAAATAGGCGGTTCCAGAAGGAACCAGACAATATAAGAGAGGGCCACCAAGAGTCACGGGCCAGAAATAAACAAGGGTGGGCGAATGGGCTAAGTCAGGCTGCCAGCCCAAATGGGCCAGAAACATTTAATAGGAGACCAAGACATTAAATGGAGTGGGTCAAAGGGTCAAGGAGGGGGGCCAATACCTACTTACAACAATAATACAAATCAAGCAAAGAACAATACAAATTGCAAACTAAGTTAGAAAAAATAGGTTAAAAATCTAAGAAGAAGAAAACATGCCATCAATCAGTAGATAAACCATTAGGCTGATAAATTAAGCAAGAGATAACGAACCTGCTACTTCAATTCACCTGGCAACAGAGGAGCGAGCGGCTAGGGCAACAGTCGTCTTGGCACTTTAGTCGTTAGGCTCTACTGCTCAAGTGATCGGAAGCGTGGCCAATGCGGCTGAATAGCTTAGCGGGACCTTAGCGAGCATGACGATAACTTGCGACATTGTGCCGGAGGCGGAGAAGCGAGCGGCTAGGGCGAAGGCGGCTTGGCTTTCTCTTCCGTTTCCGAGTCTAGCCTGGGGACGGTCGATCTTCTCTTCCGTTTCCAAAGGCACTTTAATCTTTTTTGGAACTATCGATAAGGGTTAGAATTGAACGGATATGAAAACATATTTCAATTAATTACAATAATGACTCCGAACTAGATCAAATTTTATGAAAATTATAATTACAACCCCGTTTTTGCTTTTCATATGGGTTGTGTAAAGCAACCGTTATGGACTAATTTTGGATTTCACAAATTTGACCCATCTGCCATTATAAAATTTATATTAAATATGAATTTAACCCCATTTTACCATACAATAACAGTTAAATTTTAACCCATATTAAATCCTAGTTATAGAATGCATATTTTACACTAGTGATTATTTGATTACCAAGTAAAATGTAGTTTTAGATTTTCATTTTTTTTAGAATTTTATTAAGTAAATTTTGGGATTTTTTTTTTTAAAAAAAAAGTTGATACGGGGGTATCCGTCAGGATAAGAGTATCGGAAACTTTCAAAAAATTACAAAAAAAGATGGAAACTTTTAAAAATTGCAGATACGGCCCGGGAACGTACGGTACGTTTATCCTAGAGTATCGGATACGGGAACGTATCGGATATGCCGATACGCTACCCTAGGGAAGTATCCGTGCTTCATAGCTTGGCAGTATGAAGGAAGCCTCTTTCTTGTGAGGGTGCTGGGAGGACCATAAGCTACTGTAAAAGTGTAAACAGCTTCAGTCCTGGAGTATTAATGAGACTAATTTCCTCAAAAGTGTGTGACGTTTTGGGAACACATAATGATAGGAAGCATTGGATGACCTTCATCTGGATAAGGTATATCCCTTCAGTACTGTTTTAGGACATTGAGAGAGAGTGCTGTCTCTGCTTCTCAGAACTGGAAATTGTTGAGCACCAGTTTTTCAAGCGCCAAGTTCGGGATGGTCTGGAAAGAGGTACGTTCTTGGTTGGGAGTTGAGAGGAATAATTCTACTTCAGCTAGTGTTGTCAAATGCTGCAAAAAATGAATTTGTTAAACGCAAGGCAATCTGTGTGGCTTTTTGCTGCTCTGTGCATATTATTTGAAAGGCCTGAATACCAGGGATCTTTGAAGGAACCTCAGTTGTGGTGCAGAATATTTTTTATCACCTACCGAAGTTACATTTATAATTTGGGAAATTATCATTGACCTCCCTTGAGGTTTGATGTATTATCAATCACACCCCTATACTATCAAAAATATACTCTTACCCCCTCCCTATCTTTAATGATGGTTAAATAACTTCTAATCTATATTTAGAGAAAATTATAGGTATAATTTCATAATTTTTCGTTATGTCCGCTTTTAATACTATAATTGTATTCAATCACAAATCTGATCGGGTAATTAATAAATTTATCCATATTAAGAACCTTTTTATCGGAAGTTGAACAAAATAAAATAAAAAAAATGACTAAAACTGACCTCACTCTAGGTAGTTCATTTATGCCTTTGAATTTGTAAAGTGACTAACTTTACTCAATTGAAAATGATCAAAATATGCTAAATTTGTCAAAAGTTGAAAGAAATCAACTTAAATGAACCAAATTGACTCAAAAGTGATATTTACTACTCAATTAAAAATTGAATGCAAGAAATTCCCAATATGCACTCTAGACACTTTGTTATCTCTGAAAGTGATATCATTATAGGTATAGTAATAACTTGTAAATTAATATTTGACAAAATATGATCGTGTCTACATGTAAATTATTGGTAAAGAAATTACATTTTATGATGAGGTCCACACCCAAACTAATGAGTGCTAAATAATTAGGGCGGCTCATGACCTTATCTTCGGTTCCAATCTCCTAATTGATTTAGGTTCGCTTCTAATTAATAATTTAAATATTTTTAACTACCTATTTTTTAACATTTAAATGGACTATAACTCATTTTAAAATGTTCTCAATGGTTTTAATGAAAAAATGAACGGAGTTAAAACATGGGCGCCAATCCCAGTCCCAAAAAGTGAGGCCTGAGACCTCTTTTTCACCGGTTTGGTCTCGGTCCCAACCTAAAATCTCAATTCAAAAATCGGTCATTATATTCCCGTGTATTTTCCTCGTTAGAAAAGTTTCATCAAGATTTCTACAATCTCAGATATATTTCTGAACTTTTAAAAGTAACAGAGATTTATTGTTTTAAGTCGTACCTTTCGATTGTGTCTGTTACCATTCTTATAATTTTTCTCACATGTCGATGTAGTTATGTACCTAATAAATTTGTCAATAATAAGGATTATTTCATTAGAAAGTATGTGTGCTTGCAAAAAAAGTATGGTGGAAAGGTTCTTAATACATATAAATTTATTAATTATCATATTAAATTTGCAAGTGAGAAAATTTATAAAACTAAATTTATACTTTTGCTAAACGCAATTAAGACTTACTAAACTTTCATTAAAGGATAAAGAGGGGGGTAAGTGTATATTTTTAATAGTGCAGGGGTCTAGGTGATAATACGCGAAACCTCGAGGGAGGTCGATGATAATTTCCCTTATAATTTTGTTCAGGTTGTATGACTGTATCCTCCGGATATGATTGATTTTGTTTTATTTCCCCTCATTTTGAAGATGTTTGTTTTGATGTTTTCTTTTGATTTTGGAGTTCTGCTATGGGGTAGGAGAGATTCTCTGTTCTGGTGTAATCCTGTGTGATAAGTCCTGGGGGATGCCCCTCTGGGTTTGTTTGTACTGTCAGTTGTATCAATGTATTTACCGTTCATCTAAAAAAGAGAGAAGTGTATCTATAGCGTACAAATGGTGTACAACTTGAAGTATACAACTAACATTTTTGTATTTGTGTTAGCGTTAGACTGGCATAGTGGCATTTATACAAAATATATCAAGCGTCAAATTAGACCAAGTCGTCTTCTAAGACATTCTCTATCATGCTTAATCGGTTAATCCTACTTATCAGGAGAAGAGAATGGGCAAAACTTAACTGACTAGAATAAACGTCACCAAACAATTCAACCTGTTAAGAGTATTTCAACCAAACAACCCTCACGAAAGGGACCCTTATTCCGTTTACCATCTTTATTCCAATTATCCAAAAACGGCAGATCAATGTTAAAATGTCATGTACAGAACATATGGCAGGTCAATTTGAAAAGGCAAAAAAAAACATCTGAAATGCGTTCTCATAACATTGTTGCCAGAGAATAGAACATCAAATTCATTGTATGATTAAACTCAAAATCCATGTACAAGTGAATGGTTACATAAAATATCAGTTTGTAATGAATTCAACATGTTAAGCTCAAGGAAAAAGTATGGCCTTGGCATGTCTGGATCACCAACCACACAGACAAATCCAGGAGGCTTCTCATTTCATCCCAAATAAATACACTCAAGCATTAGGATGCCGTTTGGGAAGGGTCATGTGGTTGAGATGGCTGAACCTTAAATTTCTAAAAGGAAGAGTCTGGTAACACACTAATTTCAGTGAGCTAAGTCAAGATCTATTTTTCTATAGACACGCAGACCAGGCCTCTACTATGGCTACCAAAAGGAGTCTAGATCACTGAACAAAATGGCTAAGATGGATGACCATTGCACTTATGTCATCAAACGAGCCTCTTGTCAGGGCCATGTTAACGATCTCTTTGCAGGCAGAGAGTGGGTTAGGATTGTCAACACCGATGCACACAGATCGGACCGCATCAACTGCCTCCTGATTACTAACCTGCAAATAAGATAACAAACAAATGATCAGTTTAGATTAAAATATTTCAAGTACACAATTTTTTTGTTTCTGCAATTCATAATGCACCTTTGCTTCTTAATTTACCTTGTCCCATACTCCATCAGAAGCCAGGATTAAGAATTCAAGCTCGGGGTCAGATAATATTGTTGTTGTTGTTTCTGGATCTGCAATTACCCATCTCTTCAATTCAGAGTCTCCTATTCCTCGTGACACAGCAAGGGATCCCTGAATCCTCCATACACCACGGAGGCAATCTACATAGCCACCCTACAGACAAGCGAACGATGCATCAGTCATGACTCATGATGCAAAATCATTCAAAATATTCACGAATGAGAGATATGAGATTATATGGCCTTAGGTGAGTCAGGATAATTGACTGGACTCAATGTTCTAGGACCCGCTCAGTGTTCAGTAAGAGTAAATTTGGCTGAAATTGTGGTTGATATTGATGAACTTGTAGAAATTATTGAATTGTGAAAAAGAGTTTTTAATTCACAAATAAAGAAAATGTGTACGAAAAATGGCTAAAAATACCATCTTGAGGGGTTTTTTCCTATTCAAAACCAATGGGTATTGGCTAGTAAGACTGATTACCCAAAAAGAGTGGCTACCAAACAGCCACTTCATATGTTTATAACTTTAGGCCATGTAGATTGGAGTATTGGACTAGATGAATGACCCTAAGCCAACTATACATTCTATCATAAATCTATACATCTGCTTAGCTTACCAGTGCTTCAACCCTTTCTTTTTCACTTTCCCTTGAGGGCCGGTGATCAACTGTTAGGGCCTCTGCAACCCCACCTCGGCTGATAACAGCGCGACAGTCACCCGCATTTGAGACAATAAGTTTGTTTTCGTGAATCAGTGCCGTCACACAGCTAGCTCCGCCCCTGATATTTTGCTTTAGAAACTCATCATCAGTTGTGAGGTAACCCTCTTTCACCGCCTTTTCAAGTTCTTCACTCTGAGCAGAAACCTCATTCATAATATTCCTACCCATGTTTCTTGCTGAAAACTCTGCAGCTGCAGCTCCTCCATGCCCATCAAATATGGCGAAAAAAACCTGAAAGCACATATTATATTAGGACAAAGATAAGATTCCTCGTTCAACAAGAACAAAGAGAAAGGACTCTGCATAAATTGAATTAGCTATAGAAGGATTTGAAAAATTGTTAGGCTTACAATGCCTTGCCTTTTCAGTGAAGAGTGATGTATTCATACACTTCAAGCGATGATAATCACTCCATTCTAAGTCAGGATAAGATTTTTTTGTTTCGGTAAGGAATATGCACAAGCACTTCAAAAGGTAAATAGTCCTTCATATAATTATTTTAGAGGATATCATATTGCACGACTATTGGTAAAATTTAAACCTCAGGTGTCATTTTTTATATTGTGGATATTTAATTCATAAGAATCTAAAAACGATGCAAAAGGCTACGGAGAATTACCTGTTTAGAGTCTTGGTGATCAACGATGGCCGAATACCTATCCTCCATAACACCCCTTTTTCCTCTTTTACAGTACACGGAGTACCCTTCTCCTTCAACCTCAACCTCGTCCAATCTATCATCACCCCTCGGAGTCTGAACACATGATTCGAAATTCAACGGCAATATCGGAATATTGATTTTCGCCGGCCTCTTTCTCTTCAAAACCGGTGTAGGGGTTGTAGACGAGGTTGAGCAAGATGGATCTTCATTAATTTCGTTCCGAATAAAATTGCGGGTCTGGGTGGGAAGTCGGAGAGTCAGCGAGCGTAAAGGCGACACCGACGATGAGTTGGACGGTGACAATGATGAGGAAACATAAAGGTTCCGGCTGATCGGAGATGAAGCAGTTGATTTGCTGAACACCGGCGATGGCGAGAACATCGGCGAACGAACTACTGCGCACGGCATCTCTTGTCTGAGTTAGGTTTTTCTTCAATTCTGCGGTGTTTGACTGAATAAAATGAAAATGGCAGCCCTCTCTATATGTAAAATAAAAGGGGAATTTGACTTTGGAGTTTCAACCCTATATTTTGGATATATTGGAGTTCGTACCCTATTTTCAAAGTTATGCACATATCATTAGGTCAAGAATTATGGAGAAACAAGATGAAAGTCTAATGATTTATAGTGAAATAGGGTACATATATTAATGATTTTGAAATTGCGATATGAAGTCTAATACTCCCTCCGTTTCTAAAAGAACCTCACACTTTCCTTTTTTGGATGTGCCAAAATAAAAGTCACACTTCCCTTATTTCCTTATTTGGCAAAGAAATCTACATCCAAACAGTGCCAAACAGTGCCAAACAGTGTCAAACAGTGTCAAACAGTGTCCAAACAGTGTCTAAACAGTGTTTTCTACAGTAAAGTCAATTTATTTCCTTAATAATCGTGAAGTCAAACCGTGACTTTCTTTTAGAAACGGAGGGAGTATCATATAGCTCAAAACCGGAAGTGTAAAATCAAACTTCCCTTAAAATAAGTGGGATTAATGTGAAAATCAACTCATGTTATAATTAAATAGAGGATAAGGTTCAATTTGGACATTATGTTTACATGTGAATATCATATTAGACACTAAAATTTCAAATAGATCAAATTAGACACTATAGTTACATGTGTATATAATATTAAACACTAAAGTTTCAAATGAATCACATTTAAAAAATTTCTGATCATTTTTGGACACCTACCAAAGAATTTTCACAATTGGAAGCTATAAGTGTTCCCCTTTGTTTTATGTACATAAAAAAAATAAAGAAACTTAACTCGTGTGTTTAGACTTAGAATATATGAAAAAAATTAGTATGCTATGTAATCATTGCATATAAACCATTTTTCTTTTATTCACCAATTAAATTTGTTTTTCCTAAAGCAGTATGCACATATTTAAGGGATACGAGACGAATTGAACACTATGACTACATGAGAATCGTCATTGATGTTTCAAATAAACTAAATCAAACATTATAATTACGGGTGAATCTCATATTAGCAACCAAAGTTTCATAATTCATAGTTTTTGGACACTCACTTACGATTCTCTTCTTCATCTCATAAAAATCATTAGTCTTATTTTTCTTTCCTTTTTGGTGAAAATAAATACAAAGCTAATTGATGTATATGATTTTGGAATATTTAATTTGAGGTTTTAGAATATATAATTCAATTTTAATTAAAAAATTATTGTATTTAACAAGTTAAAAATATATTTAGGACATTTCATTCATATGATTTTTTATAGAATTTTGGGAAATATCGATTTGTTAAATTGATTTGACAATATTAAAGAATTCAATATTGGAGCATCTAATTAAACTTTTTGTTAAGAAAAATAATTCATTGATTATAAGTTTAGAAAAATAAACTTGTATCCCAAAACATGAATGACTCGTATTTTAAGAAGTTGTGATTATATACTTTTATACTTTTACTCAACTCTTACCGTGTTGATAAAAATGAATTAAGAGTTATTACGTTAAATATAGTATAATACAAAATTCAAATGCAAATACGAAATCCAAGATGTCAAGATTCAAATAAAAATAGTTATCATCACGGCTAGAACAATTGATTGAGTGATAGGAAAGTTAGAACAGTTGATTGAGTGATAGGAAAATTAGAACAATTAATTGAGTCGTAGGAAAGTTAGAACATTGGCATCGAAACGTGCAGTGATCGTGTGGATGTACAACTCATGTCTGCTAGGTTAAACCTCTTATGCGCACAACTTGTAACGTCCCAACTGTCATATTGAGGATGTTTTTACTTGGACTATAATCTGCCCCAGACTAGACTAGGTCAGACCAAACCAGACTTGAATAGTTATAAAAATACAAAGAAACCAGACCAGACCTTATCAGACCAGATCAAACCAGATCAAACCAGACCATCAAATTACAGTCCAAGTAAGGCGTAGCGTGGGGCCCTTGGAATTGAGGATTAACTTTGTGGAGCATCAAATAAAATACGGAGTAGTTGATAAATACTCGGTACAATTTTGATTGTTGGTGATTATATGTTAAATCACAATTGTAGTCACAATATTTATTTTTACATAGGGAGTAATTTGTTAGTGATCATTGTGATAATTTTGTTGTACGTGTGAACGTTATGGGTTTGTGCACACAAACTAGTACTTGTAAACACAAAATTGAATAAAAAATACGGAGAATATATTTTTAATAACAATATAAAAAAATACTGAAATTTATCGTTAAAAATCAAAATTGCGTAACTCATACTTTGTCTAAAAAATAGATAGGAGTAAATATTAAAATCTGGCTAGGTTCACTATTAAAAGGTCAAAAGTTAAAAGAAGAAGAAATGGTCAAAGGAATACTGTAAGGGAATAACTATTTTTCTGGAAAGCATTTATAGCCTTGTAGTTGAATGGTTTTAAAGACTCCATCAATTTTGCAATATAAGATTCGATCGCTTTTGGTGGTTTGACTAGGTATATGCTTGGTAAAGCTGGTTCCGTCTAGCGATTAGGTCTTAAAGTGTAGAAATATAAAATATTAAAGAAACCGTCTAATAATCTTATATGGAGTACAAGAATTTTCAGTTTTTCATCTAAGAAAAGACCGAATACAAAATACATTTTGTACACATTGATCTGTACACGTTTTGCACACATCTTTTATATATTCAATATCACATGCAATTCACTTTAAAATGCAAAATGTATTTGTGCCGCAGAGAAAAACGTGTACATATACACAAAAAATTACACTTATTTCTATTTATAGGATGGTTGTCTTAATGTCTTATGTACAAAACTTTTTGTAAAAATGGTCTTCCAATAATTGTTCGACAATTACATTGCGTGCAATTCCTTTTCCCTTTTACCGAGTACTAGATTTCAAAGTCATGAGTTGGCAAATTTGGAACAACTGAATACTAGATTTCGTTTTCCCGTACGGGTAGCTCAGTTGGCTGAGTAGTGTGAAATTTGGAACAATGATCAAGGTTCGAAACTCGCAGTGGCCGTGTGGAGGTTACAACTTCTGCATGCTGGACTAGATCTCTGGTGCGCACGAGTATAAGGTCTACCACCATTCGATCGACTGAGTCACCGTGACTTACCCCTCCACCATTCTGCCGGGTCGGGGTGTGGGGCACCTGGAGTTGGCGATTTCACCTTTTTGGAACAACTAATTAATCTTATTAGTATTTACCCAAAAATAACTTCACTAATCCGCTTCATATTTTGAAATCCTTATTCATATTCTTTACATAATTATTTTATCTTCCATGTTAAATTGGTTTTTCAAAATACCTTCATTGGAAGTCATATGAGCGGATGCACCAGAGTCAGGATACCAAATAGCTGGAGTGGATTCACCAGTAGAGACAGCCAAAGCAGGAGCCTGAGCTTGAACAAAACGAGATGGACACGAGACAACACCTGAAGAATGACATACAAGAGGAAGAACTGAACCAAAACTGGGCATGAAAGTCAAGGCCTAGGCGTGAAAAAGTAGAAGTTATTTAGATAAACTATTTTTTGTTAAGAAAAAATTGATTAAATTAAACAAATACTTTTATAAACTTGTTATATATGTAATCTAATAGGGAGTACAAAAAGTAATGATAGACTCCCTCCGTCCCATTAGACTTTGTCAACTTTCTATTTTTTTTTTAATCCCAAAAACTTTACAACTTTCCTTTTGGAGTAATGAATTTGTGGTTCTCCTTCTTTCTCCCTCTTCTCCTCTGTACAAATATCAACCAAACAACTTTTACTATTCTTATTCCACACCGAAATGAAAGTGTGCAATGTTGAGTGGGATGGAAGGATTATCATTTTATATTTTCACTTTCTGTACAATTAAAAATTATATATACTGAACAAAGTAAAAACTGGGCTTAATCTTATATACTCCCTCCGTCCCAAAAAATTGTTCCCAGTTTCCTTTTTAGGCCGTCCCTAAAAATTGTTCCACTTTCCCCTTTTAGAAAGTTTTGTGTGGCTCACATTCAGTTACATTTTTCTTACACAACCACAACCATACATTTCCACTTTATTCCCACTTTCTTAAACTCCGATCCAAGTCAATGCGGGAACAATTTTTTGGGACGGAGGGAGTAATATATTTTGAACACATATTTATTTTCTTCATATGTCACTATAAAATAGTAATTATAAATAAAAATTTAAAACACGTTTTCACGCCTAGACTTCAAAGGCTTGAATTGAGACTCGGCCTCGACGCTTTACCACGTCTCACGCCTTTTAGAACACTGACACCATTTAATCACACCTTTAATCCTAGGTGTAAAAAATAAAACTTTTCTGCCATAGCAGTATTATTAGCATTACGCGCAACTACCACAAATTTGACAAATTATGAAGCCAATAACTAAAAACCAATAAAAGAATCCTTTTTAACAAAATCAGAGTATATTGTCATACACCTCAAGGGTCCTAAGATAGGTAGTCCAAAACAGCGGCCCAAGTAATCTACGCAGTAAGCCAAGGCTTAGCACCGGGGTCAACATCCTAACCAAGGCCTAAGATGCCACAATGACGCTACCGGATGAGGACGAGAAAACCTGGTTCACCTTGGGTCAGTTGTCGTTTTACACTCCAGTCATTTTATTAGGTGTTCTAGTTACGCATCCCTAGGACTTACATCACCATTGACATCATCTTACGTCGGCATGACATAGTGACTAGTGTGAATATGCGTGCCCCAAAAGGCTATCAAAGGACACTTATCATCTTCTCATAACGTAGCATTATATTTTTGGCTCATGGCCCAAACTTTATGTTTTACCTATAAATAGCAATTCCCCTTTTGGAAGGGGGTTTGATTTCATTTTGTTAATTTCATTTTGTTATTCAGTCAAATTTATTGTGAGCACTCAAACCCTCCACCACTAGAATAAAGAGATAGAGAGATTGAGGGTCCCCCATGCTTATACCCCTAGACGGCTT